CCCTCCCTCTCTCTCTCCCTCCCTCCTCCTCTCCTAGTTATGGTTGAGGACATGTGGTATTTCTCTTTCTGTGCCTGGTTTATTTCACTTAACATAATTTTTCCAGGCTCATCCGTGTTGCTGTGAATAGCAGAATTCCATTCTATTTTATGGGTGATTATTATTCCATTGTGTAGATATACCACATTTTCCTTATTCAGTCCTCCATCTATGGGCATTTAGGTTGGTTCCAACTCTTAACTGTTTTAAGTAGAGCTGCAATAAACATCGGAGTGCACATATTCCTCTGACTCAATGATTTCCATTCCTTTGGGTATACACCCAGCAGAAGACTGCTGGATTCTATGGCAGTTCTATCTGTAGTTGTTTGAGAAACCTCCATACTCTTTTCCATAATGGCTGTGCTAATTTACAGTCCCACCAACAGTGTAGAAGGGTCCCCCTTTCCCCACATCCTTGCCAGCATTTGTTATAGTCTTCTTAAAAATAGCCAGTGTAACTGGGCTGAGAGAATATCTCAGTGTGGTTTTGATTTGCCTTTCTTTGATGACTACTGATCTTGAGCATTTTTTCATGTACCAGTTGGCCATTTGTATGTCTTCCTTTGAAAAATGTCTATTCAGCCCCTTTGCCCATTTTTTAATCGGATTTTTTTTTTTTTTTTTTACTGTGAAGTTGTCTGAGTTCTTCATATATTCTGGATATTAATCCATTGTCGGATGTGTGGCTTGCAAATATTTTCTCCCATTTCGTAGGTTGTCTTTTCACTCTGTTGATTGTTTCCTTTGCTGTGCAGATTTTTAGTTTGATATAATCCTATTTGTTTACTTTTTCTTTTGTTTCTTGTGATTTTGAGTTAGTGTTTATGTGTAGAGTGAGGTAGGAGTACAATTTCATTCTTTTGCTTGTGAATATCCAGTTGTTCCCACCACCATTGGTTGAAAAGAGTATTCTTTCCCCATTGAATTGTCTTGGCACCCTTGTTAAAAAGCAATTGGCCATAAACATGAGGGTTATTCCTGATTTCTCCTTCTATTCTATTGATCTATATGTCTGTCTTTATGCCAGGGCCATGCTGTCTTGATTACTGTAGCTTTGTAATAAGTTTTGATATGTAAGTCCTCCAACTTTCTGTTTTTTCAAGATTGTTTTGACTATTTGGGGCTCCTTGCAATTCCATATGAATTTGAGGATTGGCTTGTCAGTCTCTGCAAATAAACCATCTGGGATTTGGATGGAGATTGCATTGAGTCTTTTGATGAATTTGGGAAGTTTTGCCATCAACTAGATTAAGTCTTCTGATAGACCAACATGGGATGTCTTTCCACTTGTTTAGGCCTTTAATTTCTTTCAACTATGTTTTGTAGCTTTCAGTGTACAAATCTTCACTTGTTAAATTTATTCCTAATATTTTATTCTTCATGATGCCATTTTAAATGAAATTATTTTCTTAATTTCACTTTTGTATTATTCATTGCTTGTGTGTAGAAATATAATTGATTTTTGCATACTGCTCTCATATCCTGCCATCTTGCTAAACTTGTTTGTTAGTTCTAATGGTTTTTTAGTGGATTTTCTATATACAAGATTGTGTCGTCTGCAAATAGAGATAGTTTTTTGTCTCCCTTTCCAATTTGGATGCTTTTTATTTCTGTTTCTTGCCTGATTGCTCTGGCTAGCATCTGCAGTACAGTGTTGAGTAGCAGTGGTGGGAGTGGGCATCCTTATGTTGTTCCTGATCTCTGAGGGAAATCTTCCATTCACTCTTTCACCATTTAGTGTGATGTTAGCCGTTGGTTTCTGCACATACCTTTATCAGGTTGAGGAAGTTCCCTTCTATTCCTAGGTTACTAAGTGTTTTTATCGTGAAAGTGTGTTGAATTTTTTAAAATGCTTTTTCTGCATCTGTTGAGATGATTGTGTGGTTTTGCCCTTCATTCTTTTCTTCCTTCATTTGTGATATTCCAGGTTTTTCTTTTGGTGTCATTTTACTCTGTCTGAAGAACTGCCTTCAGCAGTTCTTTCAGAGGAGGTCTGCCGATTCTAAATTCTCATGGTTTTCATTTATTTGAGAATGTCTGTTTCTCCATTCCTGAAGGATATT